AACATTAAGCATTTGGATGAAGATTTAATTGAAAAGTAAAAAGAATTCAATTTCTAAGATTAATTGCTTTGACAGAATACAATAGAATGGATTGTTCAGGTTAGAAGTACTTTTAATTCTTCACGTAAATTAATTGTGTGTGTGTGTGTGTTTAAATATATAAATGAATGTAAAGAAATAGAGATGGATGAAAATAATTTTATCATCAGAATAAAATCTCATGCTAAAAATAAGCTAAAAGCTTAAAATATGATATAAACTGAGGCCTCATTTCAATGCCAAATTCGACAGAGCCTAAATATAATATAATGATATTATCTATACTTAAAATATACAATAGCGTCCCGCATATATATATATAGAGAGAGAGATAGATAGATATACACACACACACATATATATATATATATATTTACATTAAGAATTGGACAAAGTCCGACAATTTATTAAAGACATTTTTATGTTTAACATTCTTTTTATAGATAAATGCTCTGTTTATAATAAACAGTATTAAATAACATTTACCGGCCTGAATGTCCGAGAAATTTTCATAGAAAATATTCGTCCTTTGACAGGATTCGAACCGGCATCCTATACGGAACCGTCATTTACGCTGACGTGCCTTAACCGACTCGGCCACAAAGGAGCGTTCGGAAAGCAAGGTCGAATTTACTGCTTATAAACTTCAATCTTGCCTACCGAACGCTCCTTTGTATAAAATTCTTTGTAAAAAATCCCTTACTATAAATGTAATTTACATTAAACAGGAAAAAAAAGACGTAGACAGAAGCGTCTGTCTTTTTTTACTCTGGATTTTTTAATGAAACTGTAACAACAAAAACATTTCGATTTCATTTTTGTCTTGATAAAGTTGGAAGACGAAACGTGTCGGCAAAATCTAAGATTTTTTTTCCAATTGTCATTTTATACCAATCTGTCTTGTCCACAGAATTGATCTGGGAATTTAACCATATATATTTATATATATATATATATATATATATATATATATATATATATATATATATATATATATATACATATACATACATTCATTATACATATATATATATATATATATATATATATATAGATACACCTAGTGAGCCAGACAAACCTACCTAGGTTTCACTTAAACGGATCGTCAGGGTTGACGATCCGTTTAGGTGAAACCTAGGTAGGTTTGTCTGGCTCACTAGGTGTATCTAGGTCTGCTCTACGGTTGTATTGAGCTCTTTTGTTAGTTAGTTGTTACTCGTATCGGGGTTTTTTCTTTGGGCTTCAGATCTGCATCTGTGCGATTTTTTTGTCGGCAGAAGTTCATGTTTGTAGCTCTTTCTTTTTTTAAAACCTTTTCTTCCCTCGAGATTAATTTGATTAGCAAACCAAAAATTCGAGGGTTTTTCGAAACAAGTCTAGTTATATATATATATATATATATATATATATATATATAAAGGGTGTTTCAAAAATACTTTTACAATCTTTGGGGCGGAAGTCCTTTAAAAACTAAAAGTTTACAGTAGCTGGTGCTGTGTTACCATGTAGTCTTCGTTACATTTGTCATTCGTTTACATTTGTAGCTAGTCAGTCTTATATGTTTAACGTGTGTAGTAGTGAGTTAACTGGGAATTGTTCCGTTTAACAATGGCTGGATAATTATATTGAGAGCGGGCAGATATGATTTTTGCATACAGCCGCGCGAATGGTAATGGATGCGAGGCTGCCCGACTGTATCAGAATGCGTTTCCAGACTGAAGCCAGCCGAGTCATCCAACCCTTGCTGATGTTTATCGTCGCGTTGCTGAGACGGGATCCGTGGCACCACAGACAAAGGATTGGGGAAGACCAATTGTACATTTAACAGCGTCTACCGTAAACTTTAAACTTAATAACTCAAAAAAGAAGGATTTGCCGACATATTTTTATATGGATTTTGCCCTTTTTTTGGTGTGAGGAACCCGCCCCCTGAGCTTGTAAAAGTATTTTTGAAACACCCTCTATATACATATATACAAACAATGATCTTTCGTCCCGGTGAGACGTGTTACATTAGCTGATACGGCCATGTCATGATATCCTTCTTGGTCTCCGATTATGAAAGCCCAAAGAATGCAGTGTGCAAATAGTTGACAATCAGGCTGCGCCGTTCCAGCATTGAACTGGAATGGGATTTGATAAAGTGTTCTCTTTCATTGAGTGGTTACCATCTTTGTCAGTTGCTTGGGTCATTAATATGGTGCCTTTGAAAACATGTTTTATTGGCAAGATGTTCAATAATAAGCTTTTTGCAGAATTTGAAAGAACATTGTCTTGAATGAATGTAATACTCTTTAGGTTAAAGTTTCTTGATTTTGACCATTCCAAAAATAAATAAAATAAATAAAATAAAATAAAGATAAACCTTGTCCAAGAACTTAGAATGGTTTTCTAGATTTTTGTTGGCACCATCGTCAACTTTCAAGGGATCAATAATTTTACTGACAACTGTACTGGCCCAAAGCATTACTATCTTGACGCTGTTATCTTCGATGTTATGTTAGTTTGTTTTATGGCACATATAAATATATCTATAAAGAGCATTTACCAACATCAGTTGCTTATCTATATCTATAATTCTCAAAATGTGTATGTGTGTGTGTGTGATCGGATGTTGTTTATTTCTTTCTACAGTTTTCATCCGATTTCGATATTTTTTTTGTTTGATAGATAATTCTTCAATTCCGGTTTTGAGTCCAAACTGCCTGGAAAAAATTACAAACTTCTAGGTGAAAAATGAAAAAAAAAAGCTGATTTTTACACTTTGCGCAAGATTCAAAGGTAAAATTTAATGTCTGTAAAAAAACAAGGTGCAATCAATTTAGATAGTTGAAAGCTAACGGAACAGATTATTAGAATTATAAAAAAATATTTTCTAAATAAAAATTATCGTATCTTATTATGACAGTCCATGGAAAAGGTTCCTTCCTTGCAAGATTGAGAACGTAAAAACGGCCTTTTCAGGGTCACCCCACCAGTCAAATTATTAATCCCCCCACCATTTGAGGATGTGCATCAGTTGCACTCAGTTTTTGTCACTAATATTGATTTTCGGGTGGGCTGACTTTAAACTTAAACTGATCCAATTGGACGGTAAAAATTCCCAGTAATGAAACACCCGGGCGATGACGGGTTATCCTACTAGTTTCCAATATTACTGCATAATCATTAAATTGCATTGTAAGATATGACATAGTATAGTACTTCTAAGGGGGGTCGATCTATTACTTAATAAAAATAGAAAACTGAACCCCCAATGTATGTACAGTAGAAACATATTGATATTCAACATAAATATATATTGAAAATTTTTCTATCCTTAGTTGGTTAATTCCAGTTTTATTGGGGAAACATTAACTTCTATAATAAAACCTTACATGGTGAGGTAATTTTCAGGGGGTTAATTTAATGCTTAATAACAATAGGAAACCGATCCCCCATTTTATGTTCAGTAGAAACATTAATATTTAACATAAGAAAATCTTGAAAATTTTCCTCTCATCCATTGAATAATACCATTTTTATTGTGAAAACATTGAATTGCATAATAAAACTTTAGTGTAGAAAGTCCAGAGTGAATCAATTTATTACTTAATATAGAAAACGGATCCTCCACTTTATGTCCAAGAGAAATGTATATTAATTCTTAATGTAAATATATCTTGAAAATTTTTCTATCATTGGTTGGTTAATATTAATTTTATTGGGTAAATATTGACTTGCATAATAAAATCTGACATAATGTAATAATTCAATTGTGTATCAATACATTACTTAATAAAAATAGAAAACCTATCCCCCAATTTATGTCCACTAGACACCTCTATTAATATTTACTGTAAATATATCTGCAAAAAGTTTTCCTCTTATCATTTGGTTAACACCAATTCTATTGTGGAAACATTGACTTGCATAATAAAATCTGACATAGTGTAATAATTCTAGAGGTGGTCAATTTATTACTTAATAATAATAGAAAACTGACTCTACACATTATACAATCCACAAAAAATGATCTTAATATTTAAAGTAGAATATCTTTTTCCCATCGCTGGTTGGTCAATACCAATTTCTTTGTAATAACTTTGGTTTGCTCAATAAAATCTAGATTCAGGCTTGAATTCTCAGAAAGCCTAGCAAGCTGTTATAAATTTGTGTTGAGAGAATTGCTAGAGTCAGTCCCTAACCCAGTCAGAAGATATTTATCATAAATCAGGGAAGTGATGAAAATGCAAAATTGGTAACCCCATAGATGCAAAATGTTTGTTCGTTTTAGAAAAATTACTCTCTTTTTGTTCGCGTGCTTACTGTTCATACAGCGGTTTCTGTATAATAGGAAACTTGGTTTTGTTTCAGTCGAAAAAATTGTCCCCTTCAAACTTCCCAAAAAATCTTCGCTCCGTCCCCTATTCTCTTAACCGCTTGGTGTTGTTATAGTGGAATCATCCCTTACAGTTTCTTGAAGTCTGGCCAGTATTGTAAACATTTTGATGAGCAATCCTAGAAAAAATAGATCTATCTTTCTGTAGATTGTGTCATGAATAATCAAGAGTGGTCTCCCCTTGTTTTGATACTCTCCTCTTTGGGAGAGCTATTTCTATTTGCTGGAACTAGAAAAAGACACTATACGCGAACCTTGTATTCTCAGTTGAATAAAGCTTTTTAAAGCCTACACCTTGTCATTACAGATTGATTCGTTTTTTTTACGGCTTATCAATCTTTTGCAGATTATTTAAAACCAGGAGATATTTTTACTTTATAAGAACTCTTTGGGAAATAATAATAATTTACTGATACAAGCCCTACTATCTAACCCATAGCTGGTGAGAGAAAGAGTGATTTCATATCCAACGGTAATGGCGCGTAACGAACATACAACGAACGCCACAAGGATTGGAACTCGACTCACTGATTTCCAATGCCGAGCCATTATCCATTACACCTTCTGCACATCCAAGTTAACGGCAACTGGTATTCCCAAACGGTCATCCATCTAGGTATTGATCAGGCTCAACGTTGCTTAACTTCGGTGATCGTATGAGAATCGGCATTCAACCTGCTATGACTGTAAGTCTATCTGTAGAATAACGCAAGACATAATACTTTGAAAACCACTTGATAAAACCTGATGCACTTGGCTAGCAATATCCTTAGCTCCACCCTATCTATTTGCCGAACTTGTCCCCCTCCTGGGGGATTTTGATATACCTACACGCCAATTGGCGTACACTAATCAGCTCCAGGTTGAAAATGTCTTCATGTAATTTGTCGACTCTTGTGACCCTAGTTATTTTTCTATTATCGTTGGCAACATTGTGTCAATTCGAATCATTTTTTTTTATCTATTCACCACAAGCACGATGATAATGTCACTAAGACGCAAGGGGTTACTGGAAGTGAAAGAGAACGAAAAGACTTTAGAAGGAACCGGAAACCCAATCCTAAACAGGAAACAAAGGAAAAACCACGACTCCTGTTCAAAAGACCGGGAAGGAATGTGATCTGTATGATAGGGGAACCTATCTAATCTTATTGAGGAAAAAAAGATAACAAATAAATAGTAAATAAAGTTTCAGAGTTTAGGCGGAGACGTCGGAAGTATATATTTGAAGTAGACTTTAAAAGGGACCGGAAACCCAATCCTAAACAGGAAACAAGGAGTAAACATCTACTCCTGTTCAAAAGACTAGGGAGGGGTGTAAACCTGTTGCTTACTTTAACGAATAAAATGATGTTTGCGCCGAGTTGGCATTTTTAAAGTTAGTGTTTCAAAATGGCTACTTTTTTGTTTTATTTTGTGTTCCCGGTATTCCAAGAAGTTCGACTTTAGAGAAAACCTTTCCAAACCAGAAACTATGATCCGGAATTGAAATGAGTTTAGCGATGGAATATTCCCTGAATCTATAATTAAAAAAAAATATAATTCGGAATGTGTAAATGATAAATTCTAAACACTTGAAAGATCTGGCATCTCGTCTACAGTCGCTCTCTCACAGACGCGCCGTCGCCTCTCTCTGTCTTTTTTTACAAATACTTTCATGGTAATTGCTCCGATGAGCTGCTTTCACTGGTTCCCAGACTTCATGAATTCAAGCGCCCTATGAGGCTGGCATCTCGCTCCCACCCTTACACTGTAGAAACTTTTAAATGTAGCCGTCTCTTCTACTCCAATAGCTTCATACCTCGCACCTCTCGCCTTTGGAACACTCTTCCCTATTACTGTTTCCCTGATAGCTATAATCTCCAACTATTCAAATGTAATGTCAATCGACATCTCCAGTTGCCTTGATCTATCCACTATCCTTCTCCTCATCCTTTCTTCCATCACTCCTATCTGATCTTGCTCCAAATCTTCTGTAACCCCCTGCATCCTAGTGGCTTCCCGCCTTGCTCGGGGCGTAATGCTTAAAAAATACATCGGTGTATGGATCACTTACAAGAAATTTAGGCTGAGAAATAAGAAAATGGAACAGAAAATATGTTGCGAAAGAGGTACTTTTTTTCCAACATGAAAGATACGACCAAAGCAAAATAAAGATCTGAAAATAAGAATCATATTCTGAAAAAAGACTCATCAGATCTAAACTCTCATGTGGATGCCATGAATAGCATCCAAATCATTCAGAAATGCAGAAACTATCATCTGTGTAAAACCATTTTCTCAGATAACTGATTAAAAATGGCTTCAAGGGAATTAATCTTTTAAGTCTTAAAGAAGACGTGCTTTCATCCGCTCTTATAGATTGGCGCTACAGAATCATAAAGAACTTTACCAAATAAGGAAAACGGCACCACTCGAAGACTTTCAACAGCAGTAAAGACTAAAACGGATTGCACATAACTAGAAGATAAAATAATGATAAGGTTTGGACGGAAACTTCCATCAGTTCTAGAAAGAGCGAAAACACTTAATGGACTTGAGATGTCTAATTTAGTGAAAAAATTGTTTCAAGAAAAAAGATTTTTATAAATCTAAGCCAAAAGAAATTCCAACTGTTTAGTCAATGGACGCTGAATGTTCCTCGTATGGAAATGGCTAATTTCACTATTACCGTTACCTTCGGAACAATTGAGAGTCATAAGGTTTTTACCTCCAATATGTCCAATAATCAAAATACTTTGCAGTATTTCAAAACTAATTTAAAACTAATTTAAATTGAATGGAAGGAGATTTTTTTTTGTTGGGGGTGGGGGGGTGCTAAAATAACTGATTAGCGCCATTTTTAGCTGTCTTTAATCGCAATGTAATTTTTGTTATTAAAATAAATCATCCAAAAATAAAATATTCGAAACTTTATTTCAGGAATATAAGCGGATTCAAATCAAGGTACCGCCAAAGATTTTCTAAAAAAAAAAAAAAAAAAAAAAAAAAAAGAGCGTGCCATGATGAAAAATGATACAGACTTGATTAAAACAAAGTTTTATCGTCAAAACGTTTATATCATTATTAAGAAGAAAGACCAAAGTACTTTTTGAATAAAAATCTTGTTTTTCTTGCGTCACCGGGTGGACCAAAGATTAGTATGCCTAATTATAGAATGTTTTTTTTTGTGTTTTTTTTTTTTTCGTTAAAAACACATTTTTTTGCGTTAAAAACACATTTTTTTTGCGTTAAAAACACATTTTTTTTTGCGTTAAAAACACATTTTTTGGGGGGGGAATGCTTGCAAAAATCTAATAATTGTCAGATTTTAATGACATTTTCAGAACTTATTCTCAAATGAATTAAATTATTTTTGAATTTTTTTTTAGAAAATTTTGGTAAAAACTTTTTATACATCAGTTTCCGCAACTTAATTTTAGGAAATTTCGAGAAATAAAAATTTCAGCCTCTTTATATTTATATTAGTTAAAAGCAGGAATCCTTGGAAAACTTGGCTTGGTCAAACAGAAATACCATTTACCGAAAATTTGCTCTGAATCGTGAAATAAAAAATGCAATAAAACTATGACATTATTTAATTAGAATGGCCTTTAATTGTTTTTATAATTAAGATATATTAAGGACACTATTGTCTTAAAAGTTTTTTCGATGAATAATGAATTTTCGCAAGAATTGTTTTTATTTTTTATTTTAATTACAACTTATTAAATTTTAAATCTTAAAATTCTGTATTAATTTCCCCATTTTAGATGATATTATTAAGTGGAAACAACACTTACTAATCATAAATGGAAAAGCTTAATGAGAATCATCAAACACCAATATTTTAAAAAGAATTTTGAATCTTTTTGTATGTGTATAATACATATCAGTGTGTGCGTCTTCTTGCGTATGTGTGTGGGTGTGTGTAAATATATATGCGAATCTAAAGAAATAGAGATGGGTGAAAATAATTTTATAATAAGAATAAAATCTCAAGCTTAAATTAAGCCGAAAGCTTAAAACAAGCAATAAACAGAGGCTTCAATGCCAAAGTCGACAGAACCTAAATAAAGAGTGTTTCATTAAGATGGATTATATATAAGGGTGTTTCATTAAGATGGGTCAAAGTCAGCGGTAAATAAATCAGTGTTATTGGTGAAAATTTATTTATTTCTCTATTGGATCATTTTATTTAAATCATGGTAATTATGGGTGAAAAATAATATCGCACAAATGTCCACAAAGTCTGAGATAAAAAGAAAAAACTCATTACACGCTTAAACTTAATTCACAATAAAATCGGTCCAAGTTATTGGAACAACCTTAATATTATCAATACTTAATTAACAAAGTCTGACGAGTTATGTTTTTATTATATTTTCCCAATTTTCCGAAAAGGTCTTGAGTATTGACCTAGCTCGAAGTTGTGGATAAACTGTCCGAAATTCATATTTTGTTATTTTTGCTCAAGTACTTTCGACCAGTGTGGTGTCCGTGTAGTATATATATATATATATGAATGTAAAAGAACAAATAATAAATTTTCAACATTCAAAACATTAATTTAAAAGTGGGCTCAATACGAAAGTAAAGCAATACATATTTATTATGCACTGTTACATTAGAACCTGAAAATATCCACTACAAAATTGTACATTTTGTTTCAACATTAAAGTTAACGTTTCTTCGGGTGTTCTAATGTAACAGTGCATAATAAATATATATATATATATGTGTGTGTGTGCATATATATATATATATATATATATATATATATATATATATATATATTATAAGAAAAACATTTTACAATCGCAAATTTTATAATCTCTTATAATAGAAATACAATAATATATTACTCTACTTTTAATTGAGCAATTTTTAAAGTAAATGCTACAAACTGTAGATTTTTACTCAATTGTTCTTTCTCTCATTTGAATATATATATATATGTGTGTGTGTGTGTGTGTGTGTGTGTGTGTGTGTGTGTCTATATATATATATATATATATATATATATATATATATATATATATATATATATAATTATTTATTTAAAATATGATTCCAAATCGCGACATAAGAAGTCCCATGTTTCAAAACAAGAGCCGAAAACTTCAATATAATTATTTAAATTAAATTGAGTTAAAATAAGCTCTGTTCCATCTTCAAGCGAAAGTCTTAAAATTCACAAAAATTAATTTGTACGATTTTTTTTTACTTATTGTATTTCAACTGAGTCTTCAAATTCACAAAAATTAATTTGTACGATTTTTTGTTTAGTTATCGTATTTCAACTGAGTCTTAAAATTCACAAAAATTAATTTGTACGAACAAACACTAAACATGTCCTTATTTTTTTATCGATAATCATTTTAAGTCCTCTAAATGATTTTATTAAGATAACCATCAGTCCGAAAATGGAATAGTTTTGTCATATTTGGGCGGTTACTGCCTTGTCCTGACTTTCCAGTCTGGATAGTGTTTAAAAGCGTCTCTGGGTCCTTTTTTTTTTTTTTTTTTTTTTTAAGCATTCAACCCCAAGCAAGGCGGGAAGCAAAAGGGTTACAGAGTTGGAGCGAGAACAAAGAGGAATGATAGAGGAAAGGATGAAGAGAAGGTTAGGGGATAGATCAAGGCATCTGGAGACATCGATTGACGTTACATTTGAATATATGGAGATTATAGCGATCAGGAAAACAAG